ACATGTTCCGCCGGCGTGAGTTTCCTACTCTTTTATCTCTCTCCTATTACGTGTATACTTCAACGGTGTGGAACGTGTCGACGAGATAAAAAGGGATGAAATGAAGGCGGACACGGAAAATATCTGCAAGACGCAGAGATGCGACCGGCATAATAAAAACGTCTCTCGGCTATGAGGGTGATCACTTCCGCGGCCTGACTTTAAGATTTTTTTGCGATTCTTCGATATGTCAGCTGTAGTATGTCAAAAATATATTTTTATAGCATCGCAATTTCGCCATACTGCACTGACGCAATATAACTTCGCACGCACGACAGGCACATGCGCTGTGACACGCGTGTATATAACGTACCTACGTCAAAAAGATCGCCGACCTCATTTTTATAACTCTCATTTATAACATGCTGAGCTTACACAATGCGATAATTTAAAAATTCAACGAATAATGCAAAATTTAAAGCCGATAATATTCAGTTCGCTTGACGACTCGTTATTGGTCATAGAGGAAACGCTATTATTGTCATAAGAAATATCATCAATAATGTTATTTAAAGTGCTGCTATTATATTACAATATAATCATTACATATATATTATATTATAATAAAATTAAAAGATAAATTTAAAAAGTTACAAAGAAATTTGTTTTTTCTCTTTTAATTTCTATTAATAATAATAATAATAATAGTAATAAAATTTGCATCTTCCACAATCATATTTCAAATACTCTTATGGTCTTATTGCGGATATTTCAACGATCTTTTATAAATGTTTATAAAAATTGCAAATATTTTATTTTATATATCAAATAAAATAATCTTCAAAATAATTATACATTACGTGTCTTATCTTCAGACAATCTGTATAAAAATATGCGAATATATCGATAAACTTACTATCATTAAAACTATTACAACCATCAACGAGGAAGATTCGCGTACATATCAATTGTTATTATTATTTTTGTTAAAAGGAAATAAGAAAAAGTCTAAAAAGTATTCGCTATTGCGATATCGATTGATTTACGTTTCGGCTGCTGACGAAAATACGTAAAGAAAAACGAGACAACGAGAAAAAGTGCAGTGGCATCGTGTCAGTTCGGTGCGTTTCGCTGAGCGAAATATCGCTTCGCGAAGGTTTATTATCGCGCGAAAAGAGCGCGAGATGATTTTCGCGTTATTTATATCTACGCGTAAACGCCGTTACCCACGAATAAATTCACGAGCGATGGCATTAAAATGCGGATTCTCGCTGCCAGAGGGGAAATATGCGAAACGTGTTTATACCACGCTATTCTGTGCTGTCAAATATTTATATGCTGAGCTTTATCTTTTCAAAGGATTCGTACGCTATACAGCTCGGGAGCGCTGATAAACGTGTATCGATCGGCGCGTGAGAGAGAGAGAGAGAGAGAGAGAGAGAGAGAGAGAGAGAGAGAGAGAGAGAGGAGCTGGTGAGTCTGATTATTTCTACTTAGCGAAGAACTCGGTAGACATCAGCTGTAGAGAAAGAGAAGCTGTAGTGCGAAATTCATCGACTCCGACCGTATAAACTTACCTGAATACCCGTTTACCGCGGTTCGATTAAAACGTCGGCAGCTCTACTCAAAGTAAAATAGAAATGGCTATTGCAGCAGATCTATAGACTGCATTCACTACATGTATCCCGTACATGTAATGTTATATGCAATTGTTGAGTTTGAAGTTTTCATTATCATTGTCTAATGTTAAATACACGCAACGCACACACATATGCGCACATATAAATCACTTTTCACTCATTATATATAAAACCAATACAAAAGTGATACGTCAAAATAAAAAAATATAATTTTTAATTAAAAATAATTAACAGAGCGTTATACAGATTTCATGCGGTGGATATATATATATATATATATATATATATATATATATATATATATATATATATATATATATATATATATATATATATATATATATATATATATATATATATATATATATCAGTACCTCGAATCTTTTTATCTTTCCTTAAAAATTCTATTAAAAATATTTAAGAAATTCGAGGAGGATCTTATATATTATGTGTGTGTAATATATAAGATCTTTCTCGAATTTCTTAAGCTTAAATATTTTTAATAGAATTTTAAGGAAAGATAAAAAAACTCGAAGTACTGATGTTCAAAGAAATTAACTTGTATTATCGTTTTACATATGTATGTACGTATTCATACAATAATATTTAATAAATGTATATTTTTAATTTTACATTACTGCACAAGAAATTTTCTGTAAGATAGATAAATCCAAGGAATTTGAATTTCTCTAATATTATTAGTAACCGATAAATTGCGGCAGAATAGTGATAAAATAAAACCACCAGACAGACACAAAAAAAAATCGAGATAAAAGAAATGGTTTTATATTGTAACTGTCGTTTATAATGTATCGTGTACTATCAAAGCTTTAAATCATTGATTCAATAGAATGTTTTATCTCTGTTTAAAGAAAGAAATCAACATTGAATATATAAAATTCCAATCTTTATAGAACAATCTAATTTAAGTCTCTAATTTAAGATCAAAGAAGCAAATAAAGTTTAAACAATACAAGAAAGCTCAACACGCACATTATCTCAACAATGAATATTATATAATGTTAAATCTAATGCAAGCGTTTCCACGTTAATGCATCGATCACTGGACCTCACAAAAGCATTTTGTGCTCAACTGAATCGGGAATCGTTTATGATAATCTTGCGCTTAGGAACATAATATAAGGATAATCTCAGGACAAAGCCGAAAATAATTGAGACGGTCATTCTGTTGTAAACAATAGACGCTTATTCGAGAGAACCGAGAGAAATCAATATCTCGCGTCTTCCGCGACAATGTTCGAACATGGATAAGTTATGACGTGCGCGCTACCAAGACGACTGTTTTGAAATTAAAGTAGAAGATTATGATTAATCGAAAACTTGTAGTGCTTATGCTCGGGCGCCTGTTTTGATTGAAACGCAATGCGTACGCAAATTAAGGAATGCATGAGATTACCAGCAGCGTTGAGATCAGCTTGATCTAGCCTGATCTAAGCATCGGCAAATGTTGAGTTTAGCAACCAACGCAATATCAAGTAGAGTAGAGAGAGTTTAGAGAGAGTTAAGTATGCATATCTAAGGATATATGATTTAGATCTATTTAGACTTAAGAGGAAATTAAATTGAAATTGTTACGTATTATGATATGTGTTTAATTATAACGTATATTTATAAATTTTAACAGATCGCTAAATCTATATATCTATATATCTTTACTAATCTCCTAAATCTGATATATTTTTGCAAGTTTAAGCTTAAAATAATTTACAATCTACTACAAAAAAAGTATAAAATATTGAAATATTATGTAAAATGTTATGTAAAATATACATAAAAATTTAAAAAATATTCCTTTTTATAAATGCCTTTGCATAGTTTATATCCAACCACACTAGACGCATTAATTAAAGAGATTATGGAATATTAAGTCTTAATTGCTTTAAAAGAGGTCAAACACAGCCTCACTGCAGGCATTGTACAAAGTTTTTAGAAAGTTTTGGGAATAGTGCGCGTCGGGAGACATTTTATGGCTTCTTTTTTATAATTTTTCACTATCTTATCAACGCCCACTTTTTATATTAGTTAGAAAAGTAAGAAATGAAAAAGTGCAAAGTTTCTTCTAAATTCGTTAACACAAGATTTATTACTAACATCATTTATTATCCATGTCAAAAATTGCAAGATAAAAAAAATATTCAAGTTATTTTAATTAAGAATCGAGTAATTTTGTTTAAAAAAATTTTCTATGATTATTGACTTATTTATTAATCTTAACTCGTAATTTGATATTTATAATATTAGCAATTGCTGTGACAAACCGCAAAAAGTGAATCAAAAAGATTTAATAAATTTGTTAGCTATAACAAAGTCTGTGCATAATAAGAATAATCTTACGTTATTAGTATATTGTTTAGCGTAACATAAAGATGAATCCACAAAAAATTTTTTGTTATTAAAATCGAAAAATAGGAAATATTAATAAATATATTAATCAATTTATCAATATTCAGCATATTATTCATTCTGCAATACGCGTTGTTTTATTGCAAATAAAAAAATTTACTGATGGCAACAATGTTTTAAGATAATATTGTTTATTAAAAGCATTATAAACATTTCTGTAATATTACAGACACAAATTTTATTATTCAAATTGTTTTATCCACGTCAAATAATATCTTATTTAAGTTATTTTTAATCATTTTTATATATATAGATATATATTTTATATGTCGCCACTGCTCTTCTTCAATATATCGTTAATTTAACTAAAACAATAGAATTAAACAATTTAATTCAACAAGAAAATGTATTAAATGTCACTCAAATTTAATTTATTATTTATTGACTACATACGCTATTTAGATTGAATCGCAGAAATGAATTAATTTATATTTTGAGACACATATGGAAGTTAAAAATAATAAAATGTTATTTAACTCAAGGGATTGAGCTATGATTGTTCCTTTGATATTACAATATATAAAAGTAGCGATGAATCCAATTAACTATCTGTTCAATAAATTACATCTATTCAATTTTATTATTATTTAAAAAAAATGATATATTAACCCCAATTCATGGTCAATTAGCTAAATATTTCCAAAATGTCGCGCTCATTGCTACGTGCAGCACGTTCATTCATCATTACGTTGATTGCGAACAAAATATGGAAGCATTTTATTTTTACAGAACACGTCGCTATGAGTGTTGACGAAACGGCATTTCAAAACGCTCGTCAAAGTACGATGCTACCCGACATGAGGCCAGAAACCGTCGACCGCGCGAAACGCGTTGCAAAAGTTGTAACACGCCGACACGGCGACTATTGCGGAAATAGGTTACTGAAAATTTCATTCAACGTCGCCGCGGCGACGGCGCGCGCGACCAACATTTCGAAAAATTCAATTCGAGTCTTACCTTGCTTGACATCTCGCAGCACAGTGGCCGACACCACGTCATTCTCCTGAAACAAACAAGTGAGTGTTTTATGAAGGAAACGTTGCAATATTGATTCTTTGGCGAGAAACAAATCTCTGCCTTACAATTTCGCAACAAGAAAATATTTCGCAAAAAGAAAATATGATCCCTTTTTTGCTCTTTTTCTCTTTTTCTGTTTTTTTTTTCCTAGGATGCATAGATATATTTTACGAATTATAATTATATAACAGTAAAAAAAGTGATGAAAATTTGATAACATAATGTCGGAATAAAAAAATTATCAATGAAAAAATTTAGTAAAGTAGCGATATTATCAAATTATTCAATTTGGACAGTACGAAAAATTTAAAATATATTTTTAAAATTTTTTTCTCGTTACTAAAAATTAATAATAAATTCCTAATTCATAATTTTTTCGATATTACAAATGTGTATACGTAGCCAAAGACGCAACTTGTGATAGTAAGATTAGATTTAGTCATCAAATCTACTCGCTCTGCCTTTTACGGTAACATGATTTAAATGAAAATTTCATCAGCGAGTGACCCAAGTGACCACATCGAAGCTTCTGTATATATAGTATATATTGCCTAACTAAAGCAAATTTAATTGCGTGCTCGCAAAAAGATGGCCACTAGTGATACTATAGTTATATCTTTTAGAAACCTATTTAACTAACTCATATTAATTTTGAAAGAAATGATTTATCAATATCTATATTAGTAAAATTTTAATTCAAGATTTAATGTAAAAGTTGAATATGGTAATCTACCATCATATTTTCACTCAAAGCAAGTCCTCATCAAATTCGACAGAAAACTATTATATCATGTATGGATTTTCCGGTATATCCCGTGTAATATTAATGAGTGACGAGGAACTCCCTGAAATTCAACGCAAAATGTACTCTGTCGTGCGAATAATTAAATAGATAAATCAAAGATTACCATACGGTTATATCCTAAATTTTGCCGCATAGTACAGCATCGCATTGTATTCTTGGAAATGCAAAATCGTTTTCGGTATTCCCAAAAGCGACCACTACATTGTTTCCAGCACATTATCCCACATTTATGCGCGTTTTGTGGTTATCAGCAAATCGGTTACTCATTATTTACCTATTTATCATGCCATTGTAAAATCGAAACACTATCACAATTATCACACTTATTATAACATGCGTGTGGTAAGGTTTATGTATACGTATATCACAAAAATAATTTGTATCATTAAAACAGAATGAACTGTCTCACAAAGTAGTTTTATAAAAATATTAATCTCTTAACACATTTAGAGAAAAAAGTCGTATATCTAGAAATTTGAAGACAAATTGTGTCTCAATTACATACATTATAAAGTTGTAATAAGAGAACAATAAATAAGTTATATGAATTTAAAAAAATATATTAGGTGTTGGAATTAATTCGTAGCGTTTTTTAATGAAAGAATGTTATTTATTTCACATGAGCATTAAAAAATACATTAATGAAAGTACTTCCCATCACTTGTAAAACGCTACGAATTAATTCCAACACCTAATAGTAATATTTACTACAAATTGTTAATATTACTATATTTTCTTAATTTATTTATTATTCTTATTACAACTTTATAATACATAATTGAGATGTTATTTGCCTTTAAATTCCCAATAATAAAGTATGTATAATCAGGAATTATATTTTAGGAATTATCCTTAAATATTTTAAAAAATATTAGTCTCACCTTAAGATTTTTTTTATCTTCAACTAGGAATTATTCTGTTTTATTCTGAAACTGTATTTAGAATTCGATAAGAATGACAAATTTTGTTTTAGGTATCACAATATGAATGAATAATGTCTTTCTATCTTCAAATTTCTCGCGAAATATCTCAGATCAATATTGTACGTAGCACCATGATATTTTAAAATCAGATTACCGATTAATGCGTATGTCAAAAGGTCACTCTAAAATGTAATACGAACAACTCTTCGCTTTTACATGCTGCAGGAGCAACTATAGTGACGCACGATGAATGAGCAAAATGCACGAGCAATAAAGGGATAAATCCATTTAAAATCTAATCCAATATCTTTCTTTCCACAGGCATTCGTGTTTCCTAGTTATTTAAAAACCGCGGAGATCCATTTCATCGTATAGTTCGCAGCGTCACGGAAATCTCCACAGTTTCACATTGTCAATGCGGCAAACTCATTATACTCTCCTCTATGTATGGTAAAAGAACACATATGACGGGAACATAAGATATAATTTATGCTCGAATATTTCTATATTCCTACCTCAAGAGAATTAAGTTTTATTAGACAAACAACACTTGTGTTGTTTGTTCAATTTAACAATCTAACAGATCTTAACTCTTTCTCACGCTACACGTAAAGTCATATTAAATATTCTTAAATCTCAAGAGACCCTTATACGCCCTTCTTTGTTTTAAAACCTTGTAACTTAGGTATTAATCGAAATTTTTACATCACGATTGGCTTAAAGTGACTGAATTACTTAAGAATAAAAAAGCTTTCTTCAAAAATTTAGTCAGCTATGAAATGGAATATTTGGAAAAAATATAGGGTAACTCCGGCAAATTCGCTGCGTTGAGATTTACGCCGCAGAAAAAATAGAAAAAGTGGGAGTAATTTTTCCGCAACTATTCTATTAGGTGTTGGAATTAATTCGTAGCGTTTTACAAGTGATGGGAAGTACTTTCATTAATGTATTTTTTAATGCTCATGTGAAATAAATAACATTCTTTCATTAAAAAACGCTACGAATTAATTCCAACACCTAATACTTACATGCCTTTATGTTATATTAGTATTGTAATTTCAGTTTCTTACTATTAATATTAATGAAATTATTGTAAGTTGAATCGATATTTGTCAAATAATAAGTAATAAGTAACGCCATCATAAATTAAAGTCTACATAAAATGATTACTGTAGGGCATGTAAAAAACTTAGTGATTATTTCGTAATATATACGTGTAGTGGAATAGTAAAGCATGTTGTATAGTAAAATACAAATGCTTTGTTTTCGTATTCTTTGTTTAGTGTGTTGTCTTGTATATCCCACCTGTTTGGGACATGCATTTTTAGCGAACGGGATTTATGCCCAAAGCATACAAAATGCGCAGATTGAATTCAGTGCACTAAATGCAATAAAATAAACGCATTATATGAAATATATACCTCATGTTATAACACTTGTAATATATGTAAGAAGATTGTAATTATTATTTATTATTTCATATTTATCATTTCTATTCCTTAATAAAACTTTATAAACACATTTTATAAGTTATATCATTTTACGTCTTATTTATATGCATTATTTATAAATTTTTCATGAGCCGTACATATCCCCCCCCCCTCCTCCTATGAATACATATCCTACTCCTATGAGATATACAGCAAAAATTCAAGGTTTCAAAAAGTTTATTTTTTAATATGAAAAATAAATATTCGGATTTCTAATATTTTTTTTATAGTAGTAGATAGTACAAAGTTTTTACTGATACATTCGTTTACTTTAAATATAATAATAATACTTAATAAATTATATAATAATACTTAATAAATTAAATTTTTGATAGATGCGGCGTATATACCGGAATTATCCTACTATACAAAAGTTGGAAGTGGAGAAATAAGTGATTTTCTCTCTCTCTCCTTCTCCCTCATTTTACTGAAGTATTCAATTAATAAATAATTTCGTTTATTTTTTTACACAGAATAAATCAATGTTATAATTATTATAAATCACTTAAATAATAATTATACCGATGTATTCTACTAAAAAAGAAATTAACTGTAACAATTAATAACATTGTCAATTTCTGAACAAAATGGATGAATCCAAAAGCAAAAATATGGAAATTTTGGATTGATCCATTGATTGATATCTGGAAACGTGTTTGAATCTTCGTGTGTTATATAATATTTCGAAAAAATCTAAAAGTTAAATTTAAAACGACATTTTTTAATACTTTTTAATATAATTTAATAATAAACATATTTATAATTGGATAACTTTATATATAAAAGTTAAAATCATTTACTCATGGAAAAAAAACGTTAATTTTCTCCTATACTTCAGTATCGGATACCTAATGTTCTAAAGTATTTCAAGTACAGTAGAATGCGATTTCACTACTGATCATCGTTACTCCGAATAAATGGATGCAAAATGTTGAAGTGCCTTAGCACTCCTTTGTATTTCGTGAGAGATAGAACAGCAGATTTATACGTCGGCAAAATAAATCGCATAGTATTCGTCAGTACGTAGCGTTCTCGTTAATTTTATTCTCACGTAGAATAGCAGTGCAATTCGTGAGTTTATACTATGTTTGATAATTGTACAAATATGAAATAACTTTGTAAAGAAAAATTATTAACTTGAACATTAACTGCTTCGGTTATTTTGTTGCAACTTTCAATTATTTGTTATCCTGTAAAATTTTTGAATTTGAATACTATAGAACATCTATTGCAAATCCTTTGATGACAAAAGGGAGGGGGGGATCAATATTATACACACTTTATCTATACATCTACGAGCAAACACACTGACACAGTGTCCGCCAATAACAGGACTGAGCACCAATAATTATTACCAGCGATGCATTACCGAGGAGTTAATGGCCAAAAGCAATATTACGCCATTTAGTCAATATTTATTCTTAATGGTCGCATGGTCATGTACACAAATGCGATCTTAATTTGCACTGATTGAATGCAATTCATAATGCTATATAAAATTCTTTTTAATGATATTATATAAATAATAAATATTATAAAAGTTAATATTTCGTTACATACAAATTTACTAATAATATTTATATTGCATATTCAATAATCATGAAAACAAAATTAAATCATTAAAATAAAAACATTGTATAATTCAAAGATGATATTTAATATAATCTATAATATTAAAATTTTTCTTGTCTATTGTTGTAAAAAATAATTTCAGCTTTGAGAAATCAATGTAGGCTACGCGATAATCATCTCATCAACGATTAAAAGA